CCTGGGCGCCTTCCTAGGGAGGTGTTCTGGGCATGTCCCACCAGGAGGAGGCCCCGGGGAAGACCCAGGACAAGCTGGAGGGACTATGTCTCTCGGCTGGCCTGGGAACGCCGCGGCATTCCCCCGGAGGAGCTGGAGGAAGTGTCTGGAGAGAGGGAAGTCTGGGCATCTTTGCTTAGACTGCTGCCCCCGCGACCCGGTCCCGGATAAGCGGAGGAAAATGGATGGATGGATTAGGAGAGTAAAATGCTTTCCAGTGTACGTGTCTCTTTGTGATGTTTGACTGTGAAGAATCACACTGATGGTTTCTTTAGTTCATGTTAGAACAGTTTAACAGATTTAATGCTAATTCAGCTATCCTGCTTCTTAGGATCTTAAAATGCCAACAGTAAAATGAACAGGGTTTTCATTTGTGGGGTGACATTAAACCACATCACTGTGTACTGGTAGTGTAGAAATACACAGCTGAGTTTGACAAAGTCACACTATGAATGATCAGAGCTCTGGTTTGGATGTCTTTTCTTATAATCTCAAACTAGCTGTTGAACTGCTTCTCACAGTTTTGCTCACTGCCACTGTAGCTGTATCCAGTCAAGTGGACATCCAACATCAGCACCATCATCAAAAGGCACAGCAGAGGATGTACTTCCCGCACAAGCTCAGGAAGTTCAAACTGCCCCGGGAGTTGCTGATACAGTTCTACAGAGGAATCATGGAGCCTGTTCTCTGCTGTTCCATCGCTGTCTGGTTCGGCTCAGTAACCAAATGTAACGGGAACAGACTCCAGCAGACAGTCAGGAGGACTGCATGAAGAACCATCATTGCCAGCCTGGCCTGAGTGGCCTCCATGGAGGAGCTGTACACCTCATGGTTCAAAAGCAGGGCAGAGACGTTTTCTGCAGAACCCTCACACCCTGGACACAAACTGCTTGAATCCTCCCCTCTGGATGGTGCTACAGGTCACTGTGCGCCAAAACATCTAGACACAGAGACAGTTTCTGCCACCAGGCTGTCACAATTATGAACAGTTATTCAAATATAATGTGCTTCTTTGTTTATGTCCAGCACGTTAAATCTCTAACCTCTGTCCACCAGCTGTCCTCTCTGTCCAGACAGCTTCCACTCATCTGGTTCTCATTTGCACAGTGAGCTGGAACATGCCCATGTTTTTAAAGATGAGTTATTAGTCAATTAATACCTTCTTCAGCCAACACAGTTTTAACTTGAAAGACGCCCAGTGTTAATTGTAGTCAATATATCAACGTTCTTCTGGAGTTTATTCTATGTCGGATTAATAATCGAACACAACAAGTTTATTTTTCTGTCCAGGGCCACATGCGCTTTAAAAGACAGAACTGATGTCTGACTTTCATGCTATACATACAATTTGATTTCTTGTATCGTGATGAAGTAACATTACTGTATGTAGCTACAGAGACCAGTGGTGGAAGAAGTACTCCGATTGTTTACTTAAGTAAAAGTAGTAATACCACAATGTAAAATACTACATTCAAGTAAAAATTACAAGCAAAGTTCTACATTCAAAATACATGAGTATTATCATCAAAATATTCCTAAAGTACTCAAAGTAAAAGTATTCATTATGCGCAATGGTACATTTCCGATTAACGTATATCATATTATTGGATTATTATTATTGATGCATTATTTTTTTCATCACATTTAGTGTTGTAGCTGCAGTGAAGCCAATTTTAATCTTATATTTTGAAGTACTGCTGGGTACCTTGTACATTTCCCACCAAGAATCAATAAAGTCTTATATGGTATTTTATTAATCTGATTCTAAAAAGTAACTAGTGACTGAAGTTCTCTAATACTGTAAATGTAGTGGAGTAAGAAGTACAATATTTGCTTTTAAACTGCAGTGAACTCAAAGTGTAAAGTAGCAGAAAATGAAAACACAGAAGTACAGATGCCTCAACACTGCACTTGAGTAGGGTACATAGGGTAAATGTATTTAGTTACATTGAACCTCTGACAGAGACCAACCTGAAAAAGACCTTGTAGAGCTCAGACACACAGTATCAACACTGGTGTTGAGAGAATGCAGCTTTATGCAGTAGACAACCACAGCTCCGCATCTTTAATAACAGTATACAATATAAAGACACATTATGAATTGAACCTTGATCCTGGTTTTGTAGCTGTTAATGTTTGTTACACTTGTTTCATTTGTACTAAAAATGCCAGAAGTCCCCAGTGTTAGTCGACAGTTGGTCCTTTAAGTGTCATAGACACTAATTCCAACTCCACTGTTTAATAAAACCCCACATATTTAGATCACAAAAAGCTAAACTAAAAACCTACCAGGACAAAAAAAAGCTTTATCCCAAGATGGCTCTGTTCTCAAGGTTCATGATTTCGATATAGGGTGTGTGTGTGTGTGTGTGTGCAGTGTAGCCTATATGTCAAAGACACACAGAAAGACAGCTGATGTTTATTAAATGGTTATCCAGCTGCTTAGCAATATTCTTCACTGCTGGCGTCTCCTCTGCACGCAGCTCCGAGGAGGCCCTCTGTGTTGTAGCCATGTGTCCTGCTGCGTTTTCTTCCACTACAGTTGGACCAGGTAGACCAGTATGACCAGTTACCTTCCTGATTAACATCAGGTCTTTGACCTGCAAAACATTGTCCAAATTAAAACATCTGTGTCCTTGTTGGTATACTGGGATACTCTATTTAGATTTACCAGCAGTACATGGATTGCCATGTGTGCACTGTAGTGCACCAGCTACAGTGTGCACGGCATGCGTATGTGCGCACTGTGGTGTACAAACCTTGACCCACTTGCGCCTCAGCTTGTACTTTGCTTTGACATTAGAACAACAAATAATTTCTTTTCACCTTATTATTATTATAAATTAATCCACTGTCAAATATAGCAGCCTGTTAAAGCTCGAATGTGTGATTTTAGTGGGGCACGGCAGATCAATACTGGAGCACGTGCCCCAGTAAAAGGGGTCTAATGACTCCTGTGCTGCAGACAGTGAGAGTGCATGACTGGCATTCCACTGTACTATTAGCCAAGGGTGAATGGTCATAAATATAGTGAAAGTTCTTGCCTCAGTAAATGGACTGGAATAGAATGACAAGCATTTATTATTATTTCATAGCATTTCCAAGGAGAGGAGGAGAATAATCTGTGTCCCTGGGTGGT